TGAATTTGCCCTGTGTTCCAGAGGAAGGACTCTCTTGTTTTACTATTTACACTTTTCTCCAATATGTGTCTTACATTTTTCTCACCTCTTGATTCTCTGGGATTAGTTTTTTCCATGAGCACTACAAGGTGATTCTCTCATTCCAATTTAACTCTTTCAGACCCATGAGTGTTGAGAGACACATTAATTTCCCTTTACAAAAATGGCAGAGGGGGTGGTGTACAAGAAAAAAAAAGGGCAACAGAGAATGTAATAAACTTCTAATACCTACAAAAGTATACATATTTTTTAAGAGAAATGAATGTATCTTTTGAATCTGATGATAAGTATATGTTTAATACTGTTATAGTTAGTAGGGAAAAAAGTATTCAGCAGGTGTTCATTTCACAGCAACATAATTTTACAAAAAAAATTCTTCACTTACCATGGATTTGAAGCCCCAAGAGCGAAGAATATCCAAACTTGAGAATAATACTTTAAAGTTTGTTCAATTTCCTAACAAATTCCACAGTTATAATAAGTTTCTTGGTTAGTTTAGCTCTCAGGGGCTCTTAGTTCTCACAGAGTGCCGAGCAAAATTTAAGAGAAAAATAGCAGAAAAATAGGCCATTTCACACAAACTATTTACTTTGTACAGTTATATACAGACTGAAGCTGCAATGATTTCAATGTAGCTTAGCCATAGTATAGTACTGTCTATTTGTTTAGAGCACTTTCCTTCTCTTACACTCTAAACACAGTAGCAATGGAACACTCCCTGTGTAAACTCATCAAAATAGCTAGATTCCTAAACAGCTGACCGCTTAGCTGCCGCTGGTGTAAATTCATCGCCCGAATCACTTTCCTAAAAATCGAAATTTTCATTATCATTATCAGAACTTAAAATATCTGACAAATCAATTTCTGAATTCCGGTTGCAGAAAGACGCATTTTGCAGCCTGTACTTGTGGTTGAAACGCTGGTCTCCCTGGCCCTCAGAAAATTAGAAGATGCACTGTTCAGGGCTAGTTACAAATCATAATAATCTGCCATGTTTTGGAAGACATAAATTTATTCAAAGGAAAACATCAGAGTAACCTTCCCTGAATACTTTAATGGTAGTTTGAAACATTAGAAACAAATACGGAGCCGTGTGCGAAGCACTATGTACGGGTCACACGATTGACGCTGATAGCGTTGTTTGGGCAAATCGAACTTCTCAGTCAACATTTACAGCGTTGCTTGGGCTTTAAAGAATTAATCCTTATATTCAATTATTAAATATTTGTATTTATTAATAACTGATAAATGGTTCTCTAGATGTCTGCCAGAGTTAAATATTCTAATTACAGTTGATGTATATAGCTTAGGTGTTGCAAAATGAACTTTGTAATTCCAAAGTACCCTGTATGATTCCAGCTGTTGGTGATTTGACAGAAAAACCAATATGGGTTGATTTAAACAATCCAACAGCCGACCTAACTATTAAGAAAGCAATGGTAGCTGAATGTAAAACTGCCTAGTTACTATTAAGAAAGCAATGGCAGCTGAATGTAAAACTGCCTAGTTACTATTAAGAAAGCAATGGCAGCTGCTGTAAAATGTAAAAACTGCCTAGTTACTATTAAGAAAGCAATGGCAGCTGAATGTAAAACTGCCTAGTTACTATTAAGAAAGCAATGGCAGCTGAATGTAAAACTGCCTAGTTACTATTAAGAAAGCAATGGCAGCTGAATGTAAAACTGCCTAGTTACTATTAAGAAAGCAATGGCAGCTGAATGTAAAACTGCCTAGTTAAATCACAAACAGCCAAAAATACTGGGTTCAGTTCTGCAACTTCAAAAAAGATACTCAGCTAACTTTATCACATTATCTGATTAAATTTCTTTGATCTGCACATATTCTTTCACATTATCTGATTAAATTTCTTTGAACTGCACATATTCTTTCACATTATCTGATTAAATTTCTTTAATCTGCACATATTCTTTCACATTATCTGATTAAATTTCTTTGATCTGCACATATTCTTTCACATTATCTTCCTTATTGTTAATTTTTTCCACCCTGTCTACACCGATACCTAAATATTCATTAAATTAATTTATCTTGCATTACATTTCATGTATGGTACAGGAGGAAATATCAGTGAAGTCTTCATCAAACTGCTTTTTCAGAGGCCACAGATTTCTACTTTTTTGTGGTAGCTATTTTATTCTCAAAACCCAGTCAGAAAGAATATAACAAAATTTTCAAAAAATCAACTTCATCACACTCCTCTTTGTATTTCAAACCCTATCCATTAGTTCCACCTCAGGAAGAACTCTGCACTTCATGTTCTCATAATGCCTTCCTCAACTTTATGGTGTTATGAGGACAGTTGAAATATTTTGCCTAATCTATCAGGCATAATAGGGTTTTTGGGGTAAGTGTAGAATATGTCTGATTAGACAGAAGTATGCCTCTTCATTCTTTAACTGTTTGTTAATGGCATCTTTAAAATAATGATAACTACATTTTGTGTGAAATGACAAGAATATTAGTATTATTATATACAGCTAACCATGTGATTTTTTTTTTCTTGGTGTTCACTGACTGTAAATGCCAGAATGTTGGCATCGTTTCAGAACTTGAGTTTTGTGTGCACACGCATTTTACAAATGTGGCTTTTTGGATGCAAACTGTTGGTTACTTCTATCTCAGGCAGATGCACTCCAACTTCTAATAAAACACAAATAATTAGTCGCCTTGTATGACATTGCTGTCTGGCAGTAAACCTACTTGTTCCTCCCCTCCCCCCTAAATGGGGACTCGAAATCTACTCAGGGAAGCCATATGGTATTAAAAATTGGCTAAAGAAGTCAAGTCAATCAGTTAGTTTTTCAATAGGCATAGAGGTTTCGGCTATCTAATGCATGCTCTGAAGGCTGGGAATTTGAATGTTGGCCTCTTTCAATTCATCAGTACAAGTGTGGCAGAGATCTCGGGGGGGGGTCAATGTTGAGCTATGGAGTTTTATACACTGTGTAACACTTGCTGATCTCTTAAGAAATAGAATATACAATGAGCTCCCCCATATGATAAAAGTACTTTTTTATGGGGAAAGGTTGAGGGGGGGGGGGGGGGGGGGGGTGAGGGGTGGAGAGAGAATTTGACCATGTAAAGACAAAACCACATAATTTAGAACATTACTCAATATCTCTCTCATACTTTATAATTTGTCAGTGGGTTTTTAACTGATCGCCGATTTTGTTTGAAAAAAAAAAAAAAAAAAACTAATTCTGCAAACAAACTGAAATAAATAAGACTAAAAAAGAAAAGCACTTGTAAGAAGGGGCATTATAATAATCTGAATATATGAAGCTACCAGCAATTTACAGAAATCATAAATAAATAAAGATGCACAAAATTAAAAAGAAACAAGAATAAATGGGGACGACTGCACCAAAGCTATATTCATGAATTCAAGGGTCACAAAAAAATATAAAACTTAAACATAAAACATGTTTTATCACAGGCCTTTATATAATGAAAAACAAGCATAAAGAGAAATAAATACACAACAAAATAATAACAGATCAAGTGACAGAAAGAACAGATGCAATAATATATCAACACTGTTTATGGACTACATTTGACTTCTAAGTTTACCTCTGGCCAGAGTTAAAATGTCAAACGTAAGCTTTATAAGGCCTTCCATTGTTGCATGTCTCAATTACACATGGGTAGTACATTTATTTTATGTAAAGGTTTTTTTTTTTTTTAAACTTTTATTTTTTAAACTTTTTTTTGTGATTCAATGAGCTTCTATGTCTTTGTTTTTAAAAAAAATATGGCAAGTGAATCACCTTCTTCAAAACCATCAAAACAAATTAAAACAACAAAAACAAATTTAAATACAAATCGACTAGTCGGAATTATGCGAAGTTGGATTAAGTAAGTAACAAAGTAGGTTTTCTTTAGCACTGATAGTCAAGCTTTGGTGAGTGACTGAATTATAATCTACCGCATGCAGTTTAGATAGATGGCAAACCCAGCTGGCACAGGGAAACAGGAGCTTTAGTAAAATGATATTTCTTTTCAACATCTGAAAATTTAGTGCTTATTATATAAACATAATTGCAAAATTATAAGCATTATGATTTCTTTTTGATATACAGATTTAAGTGTCAACTAAGATTTGATGATGTTTTGATAATCTGTTCATGTATTGTATTTTTTTGCTCCCTATTGTGTGGAATTTACTTATCTCTTTTTTTAACCTCTTCAATGTTAGGTAATGTTTAGTTAAGCAATGCATGTAAAATTAAATTGGCATTGGGGCGTAGGTGTAGCAAACGCACTCTGCAATTTCCCAGCAAGAAAGGTAAGTGGGGAGAACAATTGTTTTATTTTATACACTTCTTTCTGTATGTATTTTGTTTGCTTGCGAACATTTCATTCCTAACACAGTGATATTGTTGTTACTGACAATGTTGCAGTGTTATTTAGTATTAACCTTCCTTTTTCCCTTTTCTGTGTGCACAGCAGGTATAGCTGTCTGGTCTATTTTTAATGTATTACACTTGTGATATTTCAAAATGGCATTTCTCTGTTTTTAGTTCCATGATGCTTAACTTTTTGGTACCAAAGAGAAGTCATAATATCAAACTAGAAATGTATGTTATTTATAAGATGTTAACATGTCACATATATGCCATCCCTACTGTTGACTTAAAACAGTATTAGTTTAAATATTATATTTTCAAAAATGAAGATACAAATTATAATAAAGACACAATTTACAAAACATATTATTTGGGAACAAATGTCACACTGAAAAAGAGGGTTTCTATGTGTATGTATTCAAGTGGCATAGACAAAACTCAAAACAGCTAGTCAAAAAAGAGACCGTTATTTACTTTCTCAGAATTATTACACACGGAGCTTGGTGAAAAGGGTTAGCCAATAAATGAGCTTCAACTACGTGCGTCAGCTAAAACTACATGCAAGCAAGGAAGGCCTGAGATGGGAAGACAAACCTGCTTGTAAGAGTTGCTAGCATGCTCACGACAAAAGCAAAACAGAATCTCGATCATCAGTTCGTTCATTTCAGGAGCTCTGAAGAATTCAACTTCTGGAAAACTTGAAACAAAAATAAGAAATGAGAAAAATAAAGGAGATAAGGGGTAACTTAGAAAAGGAAAACACAAATACCGAAACAAATGTACATTCATTCTTAAGATGCTGCGATACAGAAGAGGTATAAACACCTTGTTGACCAAAAGTAACCTGCATGTCTTTAAACACAGAATCTATGCTGTGAAAAGAGGGGACCTAAATAATACAGTGGCTAATACATTTGCCTGTCAGCGAATTGTTTATGTTTTTTTTAATTCTTTTTTTTTTTTTAGGTGGATAATATTTTCACTGATCTGTGTGCTCCCAGGCTGACATAGCTTAAAAAATGTTAATTTTTTTTTAATCAGCCAGCACATATTGAAATCATGCACTGAATGCTGACTGGTGACAGAATATGGGGTTAGCACACAAGTTTGCTTTATGCTAGGCAAGAGTCCTTTATAGTAGACTAGTCAGCAAAACGTGAACTGCTTTCTCTAGAGCTGGGCTAATCAAATCAGGGCCTGCTGGCTAAATATGGCCCACAGAGGTTTACAAAGTAGCCCGTGGATCAGTGCCAGTGGTACTGTATTAATGATTTATCCTTGCCGGGGCCCAAGCCCGTGATGACTCCTGTGGCCCCTGGGTACACTTAGCTGAATAACCCTGCTCTAGAGAGTGTTTGTTTTTAGTAAACTAGTGTAACATTTTAGGGCTTCTTCTTCTTCTTCACTTCCTCTTTTACCGCTGTGGTTGTCGAGGGAGATATAAGGTTCTGTTTCTAGCTCTTCTGGCTGCCTCGACCATAGGAACATCGTGCTGTTGTAGAGTTTCTCTGATGTTATCCTTCCATCTTGTTCTTGGTCTACCCTGTGCTCTACGTCCTTCTTCTCTTTCCATGTATGCTTTGTATGGTATGGTGTCACAAGGCATTCTCTCTAAGTGGGCAAACCATTTCACTTGCTGTCTTTGTATGTAATCCAGAATTGGTTCTGTGCCGACTTGTTCTCTTATGATCTCATTCCTGATCTTATCTCTTATGGTCACTCCTACAGCCCTTCTCAGACATCTCATTTCCAAGGTTACTAATTTTCTTTTATGGTTTGTTGTGAGTGACCATGTCTGGTACTGGTAGCACAGAGTTGGAATAAATATGCTTTGAATAAGATGTCTCTTTTTGCTGATTGGGATTGTCTTATGCTGTAAGAGGAGGGCTAGCTGTCCCAATACTTGGTTTGCTTAATTAACTGCATCTATTGTCAATTTCTTTATCTAATTTCCCATCTTCGGTAAATGTAGTTCCCAGATATTTAAACTCAGATGCCTGTTTAATGCCTTTGTATTCTATTATTTGATCAGTCTGTTTATGTCTCATTTTGATTTCTGTAGTGGTAATAAATCCATTGCCGGCTTGCTAGGCCTGTCGCAACTTCACCAGAGCCTCGTTGGCCAGGACGTTTCAGGGTGACCCAGGGTGGCCTTCATGGCTACCGTAGCGGTCCCGTGGCACGAGGCCACACCATAATTTTAAGGCTGGCTGTAGATAATGAATGGGTACAGTAATCCAACATAATGTGGTGAAATAGCAACTTGTGCAGGGACAACAGAGTGCAAGGGCAGTTAAGTGTAGAGCAAGAATAGTGACATGTGATAGAGACGATATAGTGTAGGGCTGGTGTAGTTTAGAGATGGTGTTGTGTAAAAATGGTGTAGTGCAGGATTGGTATAGTGTAGAGATGGTGTAGTTTAGGGATGGTATAGTTTTGGGATACTATAGTGTGGTGTAGTGCAGGATATTATTGCGCAGGAAAAGTGTAGTGTAGAAATGGTATATAGTGCAGGGATAGTACAGAATAGGGATAGTGTAGTAAACTCCACTACACTAACATAATTGGATAGTGAAGTGTAAGGATAGTTCAGGGCAGGGATAGTGTAGTGTAGGGATAGTGTAGTGCAGGGACGGTGTAGTGTAGGGTTAGTGTAGTGCAGGGATAGTGTAGTGCAAGGTTAGTGTAGTGTAGGGTTAGTGTAGTGTAGGGATAGTGTAGTGCAAGGTTAGTGTAGTGCAAGGTTAGTGTAGTGTAGGGTTAGTGTAGTGCAGGGATAATGTAGTGCAGGGATAGTGTAGTGGAGGGATAGTGTAGTGGAGGGATAGTGCAGTGGAGGGATAGTGTAGTGCAGGGTTAGTGTAGTGCAGGGATAGTGTAGTGCAGGGATAGTGTAGTGCAGGGATAGTGTAGTGCAGGGATAGTGTAGTGCAGGGTTAGTGTAGTGTAGGGTTAGTGTAGTGTAGGGTTAGTGTAGTGCAGGGATAATGTAGTGCAGGGATAGTGTAATGGAGGGATAGTGCAGTGGAGGGATAGTGTAGTGCAGGGTTAGTGTAGTGCAGGGATAATGTAGTGCAGGGATAGTGTAGTGCAGGGATAATGTAGTGCAGGGATAGTGTAGTGCAGGGATAGTGTAGTGCAGGGATAGTGTAGTGTAGGGTTAGTGTAGTGTAGGGATAGTGTAGTGCAGGGTTAGTGTAGTGTAGGGAAAATGTAGTGCAGGGTTAGTGTAGTGCAGAGATAGTGTAGTGTAGGGATAGTGTAGTGTAGGGATAATGTAGTGTAGGGTTAGTGTAGTGTAGGGATAGTGTAGTGCAGGGTTAGTGTAGTGCAGGGATAGTGTAGTGTAGGATACTGTGGTGTAGGGATAGTGTAGTGTAGGGATAGTGTAGTGTAGGGATAGTGTAGTGTAGGGTTAGTGTAGTGTAGGGATAGTGTAGTGTAGGGATACTGTAGTGTAGGGATACTGTAGTGTAGGGTTAGTGTAGTGTAGAGTTAGTGTAGTGTAGGGTTAGTGTAGTGTAGGGTTAGTGTAGTGCAGGGATACTGTAGTGTAGGGATAGTGTAGTGTAGGGTTAGTGTAGTGTAGGGTTAGTGTAGTGCAGGGTTAGTGTAGTGCAGGGATAGTGTATTGCAGGGATACTTTAGTACTAAGGTAGGGTATTAAATGGATACTCTAGTACTTAAGGTATTAAAGAATGTAGTATTCTGTTCATGTATTGTATTTTATTGCTCCCCACTGTGTGGAATTTACTTATCTCTTTTTTAATTTCTTCAATGTTAGCTAATGTTTAGTTAAGCAATGTATGTAAAATTAAATTGGCATTGGGGCCTAGGCGTTGCAAGCGCACTCTGTAATTTTGAGTTACCAGGTTTGATCCCAGCTGTGGGCTTTTTGGCAGCAGACCGCCTTGTGTTGGTTTAAACAGTACTGATCCTTCTGAAAGCTATGGCAAACTAATGAACATATAATTGCATAGTAGAATCACAAACAGTAAACAAATCCTGGTGTTCATTCTCTCACGTTTAGTGAAGAATACACAACTTACTATAAATATGCGTTGTGGCGGTAATGTAATTAGTAAATTTAAAGGACCATTTTTCATATTATTTTTAGAATAATTTACAGTTGAAAGATGATGTGGGCAATTCACACAACAACTGTCTTTACTTTCCCAAAAATTTCCCAGTAACCTTTTCACATTAGATTGCCCAGATCATTGAAAAATGGAGAGAGGTGATAACATGACCACCAAGCAAGTATGCTACCCACTGCCCTACCATACCTCCATTGGTGTGGGTAGCAACAAAATAAGGCTGGACATAATCTCAGATAAAACAATAGCAACCTCTTTCGGCAGATCTTGTGAATATCTGACATTTGTGATACAACCACTGTGGAATGTTGTCCATGGAGACGGAAGTTTTCTGATAATACAACTGTACAATATACAAACACTATAACCTACATCTGACATTTGTGATACAACCACTGTGGAATGTTGTCCATGGAGACGGAAGTTTTCCGATAATACAACTGTACAATATACAAACACTATAACCTACATCTGACATTTGTGATACAACCACTGTGGAATGTCGTCCATGGAGACGGAAGTTTTCTGATAATACAACTGTACAATATACAAACACTATAACCTACATCTGACATTTGTGATACAACCACTGTGGAATGTTGTCCATGGAGACGGAAGTTTTCTGATAATACAACTGTACAATATACAAACACTATAACCTACATCTGACATTTGTGATACAACCACTGTGGAATGTCGTCCATGGAGACGGAAGTTTTCTGATAATACAACTGTACAATATACAAACAATATAACCTACATCTGACATTTGTGATACAACCACTGTGGAATGTCGTCCACGGAGACGGAAGTTTTCCGATAATACAACTGTTCAATATACAAACACTATAACCTGCATCTGACATTTGTGATACAACCACTGTGGAATGTCGTCCACGGAGACGGAAGTTTTCTGATAATATAACTGTACAATATACAAACACTATAACCTACATCTGACATTTGTGATACAACCACTGTGGAATGTTGTCCACGGAGACGGAAGTTTTCTGATAATACAACTGTACAATATACAAACACTATAACCTACATCTGACATTTGTGATACAACCACTGTGGAATGTTGTCCACGGAGACGGAAGTTTTCTGATAATATAACTGTACAATATACAAACACTATAACCTACATCTGACATTTGTGATACAACCACTGTGGAATGTCGTCCACGGAGACGGAAGTTTTCCGATAATACAACTGTTCAATATACAAACACTATAACCTACATCTGACATTTGTGATACAACCACTGTGGAATGTTGTCCACGGAGACGGAAGTTTTCTGATAATATAACTGTACAATATACAAACACTATAACCTACATCTGACATTTGTGATACAACCACTGTGGAATGTCGTCCACGGAGACGGAAGTTTTCTGATAATACAACTGTACAATATACAAACACTATAACCTACATCTGACATTTGTGATACAACCACTGTGGAATGTCGTCCACGGAGGCGGAAGTTTTCCGATAATACAACTGTACAATATACAAACACTATAACCTACATCTGACATTTGTGATACAACCACTGTGGAATGTCGTCCACGGAGACGGAAGTTTTCCGATAAT